GGGGGGTGGGGGTGGGGAGGGCTAGGTTCTAAACGGCCCTGTCATTGAACAGCTGTGTGATCTTGGGCACTTTAACTCATGAAAGGATATAACATGGAGTCAATATACCCAATGAGCAGCCATTTTAACTTTGCTTAGCTTTATCATGTTTTTCTAGAAGTTCACTTTAATTTACCCTATAATCACTGGCCAAGGACAGAACCTGTTTCTCAAAGGTAGCTATTGATAATTGTTTTACAAGTTCCCCCTCCCCACACCAGCTTGTTTTGTACTAATTAGCTTTTCCATTTTAAGTATTTGCCTCTATCCATAAGACCCAAGTTAGCCTAATCAACCCTTCATGACCTTCATGACACAGACTCTATCAACATGGCAGCAGTCATGTGACTGCTGTTCATCACCTGACATCGGAACCTGTGCTTGTCTGTCCTCTCCATGGTGACATGGAAACGACTTGCCCCCACCAAAAGGAAAGTTTAAAAGGATTCAACTTCAAGCAGCCATTGCCATTGCCTTGCTAAGCTATGTTCTGGCCATGTGTTCTTTGAGCGATGGCCGGGCAATGCTTTCCTAAGCTTTGGTCCCCTCCCCTACCTTGAGGAGGTAAATAAACTATATTTTTCAATCTAGCTTCTGTGCAATTCTTTGCATCTTTCATGCGGCGCCGGATGGCTCACACTTCCTGTCATACCTAACCTAACATTTTAGAGGCCTTACTGGGACCTCATCTATACAATAAATTAAAAATCAGCAGGGTGTGGTAGCATGTGCCTGTAGTTCCTAACAACTTACCTCTCTGAGTCCCAGTTTCCTTATTGTACAAGAGGAAAGCAATATATCCATAAGGTCATGGTACTGATAGATGCAATGATCGTTGCAAACTGCAGAGCCCAGTGACCTGTGCATAGCAATATGCTCTGAACAGAAATTGTTTCTGAAGTGGTTTTGAGCCCTTACCTTCCCCTACTATAAACTTTTGATTTGGAAGACCTCACCCCATATTCAGACACAGATCTCCAGGCCTTCCCTTTTTCCCCAGGGTCATCTCAGCAATAACCCAGGAGCTACCTAGTCTCTGGTTTTCTTCTCAGGAGGCATCTGAACTTTAAATCTGACTTCTTAATTTTGTGAAAGGAGGTACTCTATTCTCCCAGGATAAATGAATTTTTAGACTTCAAGTGACTTTTGGGGAAGGGTTAATCCCTACAGTTTTTGCAATTCAAATTGTGCTTCACAGACCAGCAGCTGCACTATCTCCTGGGAGCTAGTTAGAAATGCAGAATCTTAGCCCCACCCCAGACCTACTGAATCAGAACCTGTATTTTTAACACCATCCACATTAAAGACTAAGAAGCGCTGTCTTACAGTGTAAGCCTACAGTACAACCTCTCCTCTCCTCAGTTGGAATTCTGGGAATTAACAGTAAACTCTGCACTTGAACTGTCCCCTCCCTGTCTGGGACCTCTGTAAAAAGAGCAAATGGTCAAGTGCAAATCCGCTGAGGTCCTGAGGTTGTTGCAGGGCAACAAAGGGAACATGGGCCTCTTCCACCACCCACCTGGTGCACACCAACACTGACTGATAGGAGCTTCTGGGTTGGCCTGAGCCCTACTCCTTAGGCTTAAGACCCTATGACCCTGTCCTTGAATTTGCATAATAAAATATAATTTTGGAGTTATAATTTGGGAGTCTTGTCCTAATGGTGCCTAGGAGCAGGAATTTGTCACCAGTTGAGGATACCTCCGCAGGTGGTCCCTGGCAAAGGGCAGAATGGAGATGGCCTGAGTTTGCAGCTAGCCACACTTGGGCAGAGCTTGCTACTGTTCAGATGTGACTCAGACAGCTCACCTCAACAGCTGGACAGGTCAGCAGAGCTCAAAAGGGCTGGGGGGGAAGGAGGTCAGCCACCAAGGAATCCAGTGAGGGGGTAAGTTCAGGCTTCAGAGGTGAGCTCTGAAGCACTCCAGGTTTCCACTGGAGGAGAAAATGGGGAACAGGAGAAAGCTAATAAGATGTCACACTGTAAGGTGGGTGAGTGAGGAAAAAGTACAGCCAGCTTTTCTTTCCCAAGCCAAGGAGTAGCTTGCTGGATAATTGCAGAAACAGATCAGCCCTGTTTTTTGGGTTTGTTTTTTTCCAACACCATGTCAAATTTATTATTCCAATGCCACTAGTACAATGGAGGTGCTCGTGGTGACCCAGCACAGGACTTACTTCTTGTCTTCTAGAAAGGTCTACCCACTCACTCCTTTCCCTTTTCTGGGGCAAAAGCCACCATGGGCCATGCACTCAAATAAACTTCTTAATGCATTTATTTTAATTTTTTGGACATCTGAGTTTCCTGCTGAAGAAATGGAAAAGAATTGAGTGTCCCACCTGCTTCCCCCTCCCCCTAGGCCCAACAAGTCCCTGCAGACAGGGCATTTCTGTGGCCTCTGGAATCTGGAAACAAATATTGAACAATGGCATCGAGCATCAGGCGGGTGCTGGCACACCGTGACCCAGGCACCCAGCAGGGGAGATGGTGGTATAGGGACAGCCTCACAGTGTCGTCTAAAAATGTCTGGTTTCTACATTAGAGAAATAGCAACGGAAAGTTTTGCCAGGGTAGTCCAAGGCATAATTGTGAGGCTGACTGACTAACATGGGTGAGAGTTTTAAGCCAAGGCATGGAGTGCTAATAAGGGAATATCAGGCAGCAGTTTGGTGATAATTTGGGAGTCCTGAGGTCTTTCAGGACACCTGGACCATAGGCAGCCACTTTTGAGCACAGAAGTCTTTACCAGTCACGATATAATATCCCTGGCAACTGCCACCTACAAGGGAGCAAGTTTCCATGTCAATTCAGGGTAAGATGCCACCAACAGGAGAGTGGTGCTGTTGCCAAGCTCTGTAGCTGGGAAGTCCCTCTTTGTCTTTACCCCATACCTTCCACAGTGCTACCTGCATCTACCTTTATGCCTGCTGGAGGAGGAAGGGCTGTAAGAGTCTCCATGTACTGGGGGAGGTAAGGTTCAGAATTCCAAACCAACTGAAGGACAAACTTGCTGTGCAAGAGGTTAAGAGGATAGACTCCAGAAAAGGCAGAATGGGTCAGAACGCAGCAGGTGCACCAGCTGGATGTGACCTCAGACAATGCACTCAACTTCTCAGAACCTCAGTTTCTTCAGCTGTAAAATGAGAATAATACTTGCTGTTGTAGAGCTTGAACAAGATAATGCACATATAGCACATAGCAAAATGCCTGCCCTTGCACAAGTTTTCTTATAAAAAGGTAGCTGGGATGGGATGGGAATAGGCAGATGACCCTGCCTTCAGGAGTTCAGGATGGAGTGAGCCACACAGATGCCCCTACAAGTAACTCTGGCAGGATGAGGGCAGTCCACAATAATGCTGGCAATTGTAGGGTTGCAAACGAGACTCCACAGAAGCACCAAGGAAACAGTGCCAAATGGAAGGAGCCCAGGCTGCAGACCTAGCAGACCAGGGTTTGAACCTTGATTCTTACCCTTGCCGGGTGATCGTGGGTGGATCACTCAGTTTCTCTAGGGCTCCCATGCTTTACCTGTAAGGAGGAGTCAATAACACCCCTCCTTTACAGGACTGTTGGGAAGGTCAGATGAGATATTACACCTTGGGTGATTAGCACAGAGCTGGCACAAGTTAGGCTCCTTTCCCCTCAGCATCCACAGGCCTCTGCTTTCTCACTCGCCAAGCACACGAGCCCTGCCCAAGTCCCAGGGGCAGGGAGGAACGCATGCTCAAAAGTGCTTTGAAAGCACAAAATGCTCCGCTGTTATTGCTATTCCTTGGCACATTCCTGTGTCCACCCTGGCCCCCAGCAAAGGGGAAGAAGTCTTCAGAGCCTGGGATCCTCCTGTAGGTCAGGAGTTCCCTCTGACTCATTTCCTCAGTTAAACCATCTCCTCCTTCCCCAGGATAGGATCTCAGCTGTCAATCTGCTTCTTACTAAACTCTGCACAGCTGGTTGTGTGTGTCTGCAGATCCTTAAAGGGTAGGGTAGGCAGGACCAGACCTAGACAGAGAATGGGGCTATGGCTGCTCATTGCCCACTAGGTAGGGTTGAGTTTGAAGGCTTTGCCACTTACCCTTTCCAAACCACGTCACA